ACCTTTGGCTTAAAATAAGGGCTATTAAGATATTAGTAGAATATTGATTTCAGAAGTGGCTAAAAATGAATTAAAAATCATAGTTTCTGCAAATACATTATTTTAAAAAAAAGGTAATTTTAATTATGCTAAGAGATCATATTTTTTATCAGAAGGTTAAATTTATTGCACAGTTTTAATATCCCATAAACATATTGATTTATCACTACCACTAGATGCTAGAGTAGTTCCATCTGGTGAGAAGCATACTGATAGGACAGAATTACTATGACCATCAAATTTAGCTTTTTATTATTCAGTTTTAACATCCCATAATTTGATTGACTTATCACCACTACCAGATGCGAAAGTAGTTCCATCTGGTGAGAAGCATACTGATAGAAAATCATTGGTATAACCATCTAATTTGGCTTTTTATTATCCAGTTTTAACATCCCATAATCTAATTGACTTATCACCACTACTAGATGCTAAAGTAGTTCCATCTGGTGAGAAGCATACTAATCGTACATATTTAGTATGACCATCAAATTTGGCTTTTATTTTTCTAGTCTTAATATTAAATAATCGAATTGACTTATCATCACCACACGCTATAGTAGTTCCATCTGATGAGAAGCATACTGATCGTACATTACTTGTTTGACCATCTAATTTGGCTTTTTATTAACCTGTTTTAACATCCCATAATCTGATTGACTAATCATAACTACTAGATGCTAAAGTAGTTCCATCTGGTGAAAAGCACACAGATTAGACATAACTAGTATGACCATCCAATTTATTCAATTCATTTATTTTTATATTCTTCCTCTTACAATTTAATAATAAAGCTCCATTTAGATTCACTCCACTAATTTCAACATTTTAAAATTAAGATCCACTAAAATTACATCTTACAAAATTTCCACCAATCAAACTACTATTTTTTATTCTGATGTCTTCAAAGCAATGATTTGTCAAATCAACTTTCAAACCTACTAATAAATTAAGTCCATTTGACCCACATTATATAAATGTTTCATCAACAGTTGTGAGTTATACAAAAAATTTTAACAATTAGACTATTTAATCATCTTTTGATATTTTTTGTATTAGATCTTTTCTAAATTCTTCATAGAGTTCTTCACAATAGTTTTTATTTTTAAAGTCATGCTCTTTTATTTATTTTAAAATATTTATCATTATCTTCATTTTAGTTTTAACCACATCCTCTTAGTCAACATATGTTTTAATCATTGCTTTTAAAATGGACTATAAAATATGTGAAAAATTTTCATCATCAGAAAGATATTTTAAATAGTCTGAAGCCTTTTCTTTTCTCTACATGTCAATTAACACGTTGTATATTTATTAGTCCAAATCTTTTGATGAAGCTAACACATCGTATAAGTCTGCTTTTTATTCCATCTCTTTTTTTTTAAAAAAATAATATCGAATTCCTGTTACTTTTATATTAAGTTTTATATTATGAATCCAAAATATCTTCTGCATTAAAGTTAAGACAAACAAAAAATGTATTGGAAATTAGGATTTGATTATTTGAATGTGTAATTTAAAAATAATGTATTATGTTTTTATACTATAGCAATTTCAGATGTACACAAAGAATCTAATAGAATATCTTGTAATAAAATGACGATATCATTTGTTATATGAATATTAGTTAAGTAAGTAAAACTACTTATTTTAGAAAGGAGATAATCTCTAACTCTTATTTTATAGACTATGATTGTAGTAGTAATAGTAATTAATTAATAATTATAAATGGCCTTTGAGGAACCTAGAAAAATAATCATGTAGCATACATCAATTACTATAAATTTAATTGTAGATAAAAATAATCATAGTATCCAAAAAAAAACTAAGGAGAAACAATAATTATTACCCAAATTAAGATTAGGTTAAATCTATAATATTGATTTTATTTTAAGATATAATTTATTATTATTTTTATTAAATCTATTATACTTGTATCACTAGCTTCTATAATTAAATATTCCTCAATTACTTTTTCTTATTGATGATTTTACCTAAAATATACTGAATTTAATATTTATTGTAATATTACATTTATATCCACACTCCAGATCCCTAAACTATCATAAATGAATCTGTATTAATAAATCTTTTTCAGTATGTTATTTAATTTTTATTGCTAAATTGTTATTTCAAAATATCTATAATAATGTAGCAATGTTTACTCATATATCATTAATTTCAGAGGTTTAATAAATCTCTTTAATATGATCTTGTTTTCTTCATATGTAGCATTTCAGTTCTAAATTAAGATAATAATTAACTGAGCTATTGAGTTTCCTATCTTTTAAGTTTTTTCGTTCAGGCATATAGGTATTTCTTCTAATCTATTAAAGTTTCTGTCTCTCCACTGTTTTTACAAAGATCATATTTTGAAGTTGCAAACATGTGTCTCAAAGGATATAGACTAAATTCTTTAATAAATGCTTGTTAAGTTCATTATTGTTCATTCATTAATTACTATTTTTCCCTGTTTATATTTTTAGACTTGTTGTAACTATTACATTGTTGTTTAACCTATCTTAATTTATCCTTAAATTTCTTCATAATCTACATCTCTTATCTTCTAATTGTATCATCTCTATCTATGATTTCCACTTACCATATCTCTTACGATTATTCTTCTTCTTTGTTATCCTTCATCTCTTATTTTACTATCTTTTATTCTTGTCTTTTTAATTATGAGAGGTATACTTTATAACTCTATGTCCATAAATAATGTCCTAACATCTAGTATAATTCTTTCTTATGACATATAATCCTATGTGGTAAATACATATTATCTTTCTTTTCCAGAATGATATGGTGGATAAACCCTTCTTTATGGATTATTATTGGATGCTTATCTGGGAATTTCTCATCATTTTGTATTATTAGTCTTCCTCTATTCCTTTCTTTAAGTATTCTTATCACATATTCTTTTGATCTTTTATTAATTTTCATGACCATCTAGTTCTTATAGATATTATTTATGCTTTTCATAATTATATTTTCCATCTCTATATAAACATAAAAAAAAGAACATGCAACATTGAGAAAAAATTAGTTCATTCATGAAATATGAAATATGAAATCTTAAAATAAATTAGCCAAAAAATTCTTAAGTATAATGATTTTTTATATACAGGAAAACCTTGTTTGAATTGAGTGAAATAGTACTCTCAAAAACTATAATTGGAATTAAAATAAAAGAATATTTAGTTCTTGAAATTTTCTATTAGAAATCCTATTATAATCATCACGAATGCCTCTCTTAATATAAAAACTTTAAAAATTCCTCCTGCAATAAGAGATTTTGTATCTGAATTTTTTTAATTAATAGAATTACATCCATTATCTTTCTCTAACAATAAGGATTAATAATTTAGCAATAAATTTAGAGGTTTTTTCAAAAAAATATATCTTTTTATTTATCATAAAATATATATTTTTATTTATTAAAA